AAAAAGCAGATTACATGTAGGTTGTTTTTATTTCCACTGGAGTAGCATTAAAGTAGTATTAGTAAGTAGTAGTATTAAAAAGTGTGTTACAGCCATCATTCAAGCTGCTCAATCACTAGTTCAGGAGAGAGCTGGCAATGAGGGTGGAAAGAAGAACATGCAACACATGTTCCAGACTGAATCAGGTTCAGTTTTGGAACCCAGACAGCTCAAGGGCCAACACACAGGTATTTTAATAGCTTTATGGAACTTTATTTAGAGTGTCAGGCGGGTGAGGGAGTAATATCGTACAGCATCTTAAAGCAGACAGACTGTACACTTATTGATAAGACAAAACAAAAAGGTGGATGCATGCAGACATTCGGTTTGCACATGTAATAAAACAAAAATATGAGGATTAAAAATAATTTTGAAAACATGTTGAATAAATAAATTAGGATATATGCTTTTTAAGTTAGATAAGATAGCGTAGAACCACGTCAATGTTCTATGGTAATAATTAATTATCATTAAAAAAACACAAAAGGAAACCCTGATGCAACACCTTTTTATGTAATATTTTAGTCTTCTACTGTAAAACCTAGCCTAAAACCTATCAATCATCACGTTTTTTCTTCCTTTTTTTTAAACTTCTGTGCAGCCTGTAGTGAAACATGCTACAGCTACCAGCTCTTTAAAATGCAGGTTTGAATCTTTGGTTTTAATACTGTATAATAAAGCTTGACATTCAACAACCAAACTGCTGGCTCTGACAGAAGAAGAAAATCTATACAAAAATAATAATCATCACAGTAAAGAAGAGTAGGTACTGTTGTTAACTTTTGTGTTTGAGAAAATGAATTAGACATCTTAATTATGATCCTTCTGTACATTGACTGTTGATGATGCCAAGTCCATAATAAATCTAATTAGTCCATAAGGATGTATCGCATCGTCATCCATGCAATGTCCAGTGGTCAGAATACCCAATCTTCTCTTAATTCTGCCCTAATTCAGCAACTGTGTGACTATAAAATTCATAAAATGAATTTTCAGTTGCTCCATCAGTCACAAAAGCGTTTATAGTCTGTTAAGCCAGCCGGACACAAGCTGCATGTCTGGGCACAGCAAAGACGAGTGCTGAACAGTGATATGTTATATGGACTATATAACACCGGGAAGACTCATTATATGACTGAGTAGCAGATGTAACATATTAAGACGTGTAGCATTACTGGTGTGAGGTTGTAAGAAAACAACTGTGA